CTGTGCTGGCAGAAATGTGGAAAGTATTATCATGGTTCCACACCTGCAGAACCACGGCTCCTATCAGCAGTCTCCTGACGGATTGATGTGGATACCAGGGGATCCAGAGGGCTTCTGGCTTTTATTAGAACTGCAATAATACTCCAGACAGGGGGAGCAAAGAGCTGGTTGTCTGGTATCAAAGAGATTATATGCTGAGTGGGAATGCTTGCAGCCTTAATATACTGCGCTGTACTTAAGAAACAATTCCGAAAATTGTGGCAAATCGAGACCAAATGTGTAAGCGAGGGCCCCCCCAGACTCCAAGGTACAAGTAAATCGCTCTTTTCCTCTGAGGTATTCAGGAGCAGTTGGCTTTCTTAGTACCCCTGCCACAGGGTGCATATTTCCTGCATGACGATTTCAAGCTGTTTATCTTGTTTGAAAGGGGATGAAAGGGATTTTGTCTTTCTGAGTCTTTATGATATTAAAATCAGTTTTTGGCACAAGTGAGCAACCCTCTGTAGACGTGGTCGCCATCTGATTCCCCACCCCTGGGCTACACAGGTGCATGTGCAGATGGATCTGATGTAAACCATGGGATTCAATTAGAAACTCATACCTTGCCTTGGCAAAATATCGATTTCTTAGTAAAGTATTGCACAGCTCAGTCCTGTTATTATAAAGGCAATTACCATAGCAGTGGCAGTGCCAGGATAAACTAGGGTTAAAATCAGCAGGCTGCTGACTGGCTCAGTCTGCAAAAGTGCCCTAACGGCACAGGCGCTACGATCCAGGTGTCCTGCCACTGACCACCAGGGCCTGGAACACCGCAAGCAGTCATGCACAATTCGCTCAGAGCTGCTGGGGACGGTGGTGGAAAAGTGACCATAATCTGGCCATGGCGACAGGGTGACACAGGCAGACCTGGCTGCGGGGAGAAACAGAGACAGAGCTGCACTTCCTACTGCACTGTGACAAATATTCCGGGATTAGACAAACATTCTTCCCCAAAGCAACCAATCTAATCCCAGAATTCCCACACCTGCCAGAATCAGAACAGCACCCGATCCTACTGGGAGAGGGGGGAGGGAACTCAGTCGAACTGGCAGCCCAGTACGTGATCTTCTGTCACAGGCTGAGGAATGGTGAGCCTGTCTCTCAGTAATGGTACATATGTGGTATGTAAATGTCTTATTATGTGTCTGTATTGTAAATACATGCATAGATTTATAGATGCAAAGGAACAAGTAAAGGTTAATTTCATGCTGAAAAGAAAACGATTTCGGCTCTGCAGCAGAAACGTTGTGTTTCTTTTCTTCTCTTTTCAGCTTGGAATAAACCTTTACCTGTTCCTTTGCACCTACACATGCTGATGCAGCTCCCTACTTGAATACCTATGGGCATTGTGTTGATTATATATGCTTTGGAAAAACTGAAATACAAATACATACAAAACCTTCTTGAGCTGAATTGAGTGACCCTGCCCTGTGCCCTCTGTGCCCAATATTTGGGTATTCCCGGGTTGCAGTCCCAGGTGGGATCAGTAAAAAGACACACCTCTCCACCTGTTGGCTCCAAACCACCTGGACGTCACTGCTAAGCGTGTAGCGTGCCAAAAGATGAACTGATGTTCTGTTCAGTTGTCTATTAAAAACATACTAATTTGACTAATTTACTCTTACTGCAGTGTGCCGTGGGCCACTGGACAGAACCTCCTGCATGACTGCAGTACCTGCGCGGTTTGCCTCGGGTGGGGGGCGTTTTCACCTTGGAGCACATGTCTGGAAAGTGGGAGAGAGGGGGCCTTTCTCCTTTCTCCTCTCCCAGTCAATCACGAGCTCCAGAGCAGGACCAGAAGGCCTGTCTTTTATTGCTCCAGCATGGTTTAATGGGCCTTTCATGGGCTTGAGACAATGGGCTTTGTTCAGGCCTAATTCGGCCTGCACTCCCTGTGAGCGGGCAGGGTGGGGGAGGGGCAGGTGGCGCAGGGACGAGGAGCTGGAGTCAGCGCAGGGGCCGGTCGGGGCCTTCCCGCGATCAAATTAGGACTTTTTATTAGTCTTGTGCTGAGCTCGCCTCGCAAATACTGAAATCGGAAGGGATAAAACAATAAGACTGAGGCTGGCTGCATCTCCAGCACGCCCCCACAATGCCTTTCCTTCGCTGGGGAAGAGTGGCTTTCTACAAGCGGCCTGGGCAGAGCAACGGCTACGTCCAGTCCTGGCTGCCCCTGCACTGTGGGTCGCAGGCTGTCAGAGCACACCTGACAAGAGCCCCAAGGTGTTCAAAACGCAACAACCCGAGTTCAGCCTTGGACAGTGTAGCTCCTGTCTTGAACTCCCTGCACTGGGAAACTGCTGAGTTCTGTAGAGACTTCAGACTATTATTCCTGACTTTTAAAACCTCAAAGGGTTTTCTAAGAGAGTCTTTCCCCCTTATATTCCTGACGTCCCGGTGAGCATGTGAGTGAAGGTCACAGCTGTGCGCTTGTTGAAACTGGCATTCCTGCAGATTTTATGATGTGCGATATATTTTCTTTTTAAACATTGATGCATGTTGTCTGATATGTTTGTAATTAATTAATTAGTACTTTGAGCTAATTTGTCATTAAAATACATCTTAGGAGATAAAGTTTCTAATTAGTGTTGTAGAAGTGCAGTTCATCTATTTATCTACATGTCTTAATAAACAGTTATGAGTTGGAAAGTCACAGGTCTGCTTACGATATCAACCATGTTGCATCTGAAATGTTTATTTCCTCCAGCAATAAAAAGAAAACTCTAAGTATCTGATCATTTTTTTTTGTCTGAACATGTTCTTGCTTATTTTTTCATTTTCTCCCTGCTTGTTTATTTCAAGATAGTCTACTCCCAAGTGAACGATACAGTTTGTGTGGATGCGGTGCTGTGTGTATTTGCTTTCTTGTGACAGAAGCACAACTGAAATGCTAAAAACAGAAGCTCAAAAACCGACTCCAGGTCATTGTTTCTGATAGTGGTGGGGTCAGGAACTGCACCTGAGGAAGATGGAGAAATATAACTCTTCTTGTTGTGTGATATTTAAACTCTTCAGGAGCTAGTGCCCACCTGAGAAAATCATATTCCACAGTAATGTATGAATCTCAGTATTATTTTTGCTATAATAAAAATCACACAACTAAAATAAACCACATCTCAGAATTGGTTATTGTTGCAGTTCTGTCTCTGAGCTGCTTTGGGTGTGGTTGAATCTCGATATGCTCTGAAATGAACCGAAGGTATTCAAAGTCCCTTCTATTTGAAACAATCGGGAGGGTAAGGGTCAATACACATTTTTCTCCTTACAGTATAAATGCATGCGAGTCACTCCCTTTTAAAAGCTTGCATTTTAACCTAAGCCATGACTTATGGTTAAAATGCAACTAGTTACAAGCTCAAATACTGCCAAGTCCAATAATAAAGACATCCATCATCTTCATTGTCACTATCACTATCAGAAATTAGGTCTTGGATGGTGTAGATAGCATTTGAGGCAATGCTAATTTAGATAACAGGGACATTATAGCCGCTGTCTACACAATAATCATAAATCATAAGCAGAAAATAGAAGTACAGTACATATTCTCCCCTGCATGAATACTGAGAAAGAACACAACAATTGCCTTTAGAAAACTTCTGATTGAGCAAGGGGTGAGGTAGCTCCTGACAGGCTGGTTATGTTACTCCACATTCTGCACAGGGTAGGAAATTCAGTGCCTTCTGCAGCCGTTTTATTTGGAACCTGGTTACTCCCCTCCTTCCACCAAAATAGCTGACAGAGGGCAACCATGCTTGGCATGGGGAGCTGCCTGTGGCCATGTTCTTGCACCATACTTGGCAACAGGCTGGGGTATCACAACCTGGGAGACGAGCTCGTCCCTGTTTCAGGACCGTATCCGTCCCGGTCGATAGAGATCATCCTCAGAACCTCAGCCGGTCTGCAGCCACTCAACTCTCCGCTTAGGCGGGGGATTAGTGAGAGTTAAACGGCCCACAATGGAAGGTAATGCTTTGAGCCAATTTGTCTTTCAGATTTCTGCCTCTGGAGCTGCTCTCTGCGGCTGATTGCACTGCCCGCAGGGCTTGAGGGGAAGCCGTGTTAACATCTCACTCTGGTGCAAAGGTAAAAAAGAAACAAAGAAGGCAGGTGACTTCGTCTCTGGATTGACTTCATCTATTGCTCTACAGCCCTCTGTGCATGGGACTCAGCCTGTCTCTCCCTCTGACAGAGCTGCCCTGTCTTGTGCTTTCACCCGCAACCAAGCAACAACGGCAAGCAAGGCATGAGAATGTAAATATTATACTGTAACACACAGGGATGCCCAGTCTAGGGGAAACTATAGTGATGTGTTACTAGATTGTACTGAAATGCTGTAAGTTAGTTCCCCAGTGCTAATGCAGAAGTTGCTATCGGACTGTATAAGTAGTTGCTTCTTGCCGCTGGGTCATTTAATCCATTTCCACATTAAGTGTGTGAGAATTTCATATTATTAAGCAGTAATGTTGCTATCGTAGTTCTAATAATGGTGTCACTGTCACTGTACTACTGCCACTACGATGGTTATCAATCATCATCAGCCACTATTACATTTCGCCTTGTTTTTGTGTTTAGTTTTCCAGAAGCTGGGGTTGTTTAAGACTGAACAGACCCGATATGGCAGTGGGGTGACTGGAGTGGAGCGCCAAGCTGCTCGTGTTGGGATGTTCACCACGCGAGCGTGGGATTTCGTGTCCTTCTTCCGATTGGGGAAGGTCAGAGCTGGAAAGGGGGAGAAGGAGACCTGGATTTCTCTGCGCGGGGGGGGGGCGAGAGAATTCCTCGCTGAAAAGGCGCAGAGAGTCTTGCTGTGATCAGTGTTGTGTGCAAGATAGAGGTCTGAACTGCGGTCCCCCGCTCACTGCAGCTGCTGCGGCGACGGCAGGCTTCAATAGAAAAGGGGGTCGGTCCAAGCTCTCAGTGGGACTACGGCATACCAATTCAGGGACGAGAGAGAGAGAGGGAGGAGCGCCTTTTTTTTAGTCCTGCACAACTTTCAGAAACTTGCCCTCTTCCTTTCACTTTAAATCTACCCCCGTGAAAACAGCGTGCCCGCAGCGCTCCGGTTTCAAAGAAACCAAACACATTTCAGCAAAACCGATTCTACACCCCGTTTCAAAACTTTTCTCGGCTTTTTTTTTTAACGAAAGCCATTACCAACTTCGGGATTTAGGGAAAAGGCACTATTGTTGCGATCCCTCCCCCTTTCTTGGGAAGTGGGAGGGTTTAAGTAGGAGTAGCAAAAGAAGGAATTGTTTTAGGAATCAGTCATCCAAGAATGGTCCTTCCATATGGGCGCTGGGGGAGACCTACAAAATGTCTGAGGTATCGCTGTGAATTAGTGTAGCAGCTACTCGGTGTATTTTAGAGAAAACAGCCTACGGCTTGGGATTTAACTTTCAGAAAGTGAGGGAGAGAAATCTACACACGCTTTTTTTTTTTTGAACGGGTTACACAACTTTCGGTAAGTGGATTTTGTTCGAGATTTCGGTCCATTTGTATTCCTCAGCAAACCCCCCTCTCTGTTTTGAATCATGGTGTGGGGAAAAAAAACAGCGAGTATTTTATTACTATTTATGTGTAAAAAACATTTTTCAGTGAAAACGCGATGTTGAGGTGTGTGTTTTTTGGTTGTTGTGGGTATGCAGAGTGTTTCGGGTAGCGAAGTTAAGGTTCGCAATCTAGGAAGTTTTTTTTACGGTATTTTGACAATTAGTGATTCTCACGTTTTCTCTCGTTTTACGATAAGGTTTCGACTGTAAAAACAGTTTTTGAGACAGAATGCGAGAGTGACTTTGTTACGATAGTAGAAATATACAAATGAAGTAGGAAATGTTGCATTTTCCGAATATTATGATAATCTGTGCACTCGGTTGTTACTAATATAACGTTTTCAGATTACGGACTGAATGAATTTACGAGGAGTGGTGGATGGTAAATTCTGTTTTCATTCTCTTTTTTTTTGGTTTACAAATCCTTTGAGCTGTAGACTATATATTTTCTTACTTATTCAACTAAATTATTCAGAATGTACGATCTTTGTAGGCCTATAGGCCTATATGAAGGACATTACTGTATAAAATTAATTGGATAAATCTGTCAAATACAGGTATTTTTGTTTCAAATTATTTGCTTTCAAGATATTGTACAACAAAAGGTACAGATAACATCCTACTGAAGTGAATAGCTGTACTGCGCCTTTAACATATTAAATTATATATGGCGTTAAATTGTATTATGGATCTCTAAGACGTAAACATTTTTGTATTTTTGAAAATGTTTAAAAACATTTGAAGAACTTAAACAGTTCCTCCCCCCCAAATACATCTGTAGTTGTATTTACGGAATTGTTGGGGAAAAAAGTCGTGTAAACCTGGTTTAAATTCTGTTTAACCTTGTATTTAATCCGAGGAATTGTTTAAGTGTGGTGTTTATAATGTGAAATCCGCCCCACTGCCTACGTGTTTTATTCTGGGGAAAAATCCGAGCAGTCCTACCGATATTTCGACTGTACAGGTACCAGAAACCTGTTCAAATCTCTTGTTCTTCTGCTGCCGTGTTTGGGTACGGTTATTACAATCCGTGCTCTCGGAAGTGTACACACAACACTTAACACATAACATGTTCTGTTCTTAGTACACGCATAAGCGTCTGGAAAAATGCACATTAAAAATGTCTTTCCCAACTCCTCCTGTATTTTTCTGCAATTAGCGCACGGATTAGCCTTTAAGGTTAAGGTCCTTGGGTCACCAAACTCATTATGTTTAGAATATTGTTTTTTTTTTGCAATTGTAATTGAGGTATTTAAACGATTGCGATTGCTTTTCTCTTCCTTACACAGTGAGTAACAGTCTTGTTCTGCAATCTCCTTGGACTCGGGCTGTGCACTTCTATCCCATCATGTTCCGTGTATTACACACGTACGGAGTTTGACTTCCAGAGTATGGTCGGCTCCCGTGTCCCTCTACATTGACTACTGCACATTTACCTGCCTCTCAGTCCCTTGACTGTTTTTTTTGTGGTCGTTTATACAGTCTTAAGCAAATATGTGTTTTTGTCAAGTGACAAAATACAATAGGGATTTGAGGAGGATCTCTGAAGTGTATGTTTTTGGCTGGTCTGTGGAACATTGTGCTGTTGGGTGAACTTTACCGATGCGGTCAAAACTTTTGGCTGGTCTTTTTTCTGAAGAATACAGGCTGGCTGCACTGTAGCACCTGCGTTGGTCATCTGTGCTGTAGGATTGTGCTGGCATGGCCTTGTGACTTGTAACTGACAGCTGCTGGGTCATATCAGCCGATTGGCAAGAGTCTCTTTATTTTATCTGGAAGTGTGTCTTAACAAGAGGGTTATCGGCTTTCTTTCACGGGCTCCCAAACCCCGGGGTTCTGATCTGAAAAGCTTGCGATGTGCTGGGCTCAAGTCCCGAATTGTCCGAAAAAAGATTCTCTTCCACCCCCAGTCACGGGACACAAAAGCATTTTCTCAGAACTGCAGGTTTTCCCAAACTTGTTGCGCGGACTGCTGTGTCTGTCCTGCTCCCATTCCAGGTTTTTGTGGTCCATGGGTGTGTGAGGAGATAGTGCCTCAACACCGGATGCTCTTGTTTCTGAAGAGGCTGTTGATTAAAGGTCCTGAAAAAGAGCACGGATGCTGATCTGCTGCTCTTCTCCGCTGGCCTAGAGCAGAATGGACAGCTGGGCTGTCTGAAACGCTGGTGTGAGGCAGGCAGGGAGAGTGGAGGGGCTGACGGCTGACCTCCTGTCCTTGGGGGGCTCGAGGGCACAGTATCCGGGCCCGGGTGGGGTGGAAGTGTTCAGGGTTCGTATGGAGAAACGCGGTGGCAGGTGTCTGGGACAGATGTGTGGGGTAAAGATGTGCAATGTCTCTGGAGCTGCTGTACAGGAGTTCTCGGCAGCTTTCTTTGAGCTGGCCAGTTCGGGTGTTCCATGAGAAAGTAAATGGCGTATGGGGAAAGATGAAAGTTTGTTCGTTCAAAAGCTTCCTTACAGCTTTCCTATTCTTTCCTTATTCCCATGGTCTCTCTCCTCTGTCCTCCCTACTGTTTATCCTCTTCCTCTCTCCCTGCTTTCTCCATCTCCGGTCTTTATTCCAGTGTCATGGCCGTGCTGGCTCTCTCTCTCCCCGCCTGCCTGAGAAGCTGGGGTCCTGGTGCGTTTTCAGCCTGAGCTGTGTGGTTTTTGTCTGGGGAAGAAAGGCCAGATCGTCTCCAGCAAGGAGGGGTTTAGCATGTTTCTTTTCTCCACAGGCTGTAGCTTTTTTTCTGGGGTAAAGCTACTCCAGGCACGATGTTTTTCTGCAGCATTTCATGCAGAAAGATAAAGGCCAGGACAGCTTTGGCAATTAGCCAGAATTTAATTTTCTTTTAAAGAGTTAGACTACCCCCCCCCCACACACACACACAAACACACACACACACCACCAGGGAAAAGAGAAAATCATTGTTTTTTTCCCATCTTAAATCGTTTCCAAACTGCTTTGTAAAGACCGAGCATTCTTTTTCTTTCAAAAAGAAAAATGCACAAAACACTAAAAAAAAAAAAAGCCCAGAAAATAAGAGATGGGGCTTAACTTCTTATTCTGCGTTCCAACTGTTTTTTTTTCCCGATTATTTTTTTTCTTCCTTTTTGTCGCTTGGATTTGCTCTGGCCCTCTGCCTCATTAAGGTGGCAGCCGATCGCTTAAAGACACAATCTCCTCTCGTTCTTCTTTGAACATATAACATACTGTATAACATCACTTTATTGGCCACATACAATTTCTTGTATTAGGGATTTGTCTTTTCGCAGACCCCAGCTTGCTCTCCATGAGACACACAGACAGGGAGAGAAGCTGGGGGTCAGAGCGCAGGTTCAGCCATTTATACGGCGCCCCTGGAGCAGCTGGGGTTAAGGGCCTTGCTCAGGAGCCCAACGGAGTAGGAGTAGGATTCCTCTGCCGGCCGCGGGATTCGAACAGGCAACCTTCCAGCCACGGGCGCAGATCCTGAGCCACAGAGCCACCACTCCGCCCGCCCACCTGCCCCTTGCGCTGGTCCGCGGCCTTTTCTGCAGCCTGCTTGCTCCGGGGTGCATTTATTAACCGGTGCATCAAAGTTGAGCCTGACTCGCCGTAACAGCGCTGGCTGGTTTTTAACATGGGCTTCCAGATTGAGCGCGAAGCTGTAATTCCGAGAACCTGGAATGGATGGTTGGAAGATGATTTTAACCCTGGGAGCGTGGCTTGTACAGCCCCAGCAGGGATGAGGTCTTGATCAATTCGATCAATCTTTCGTGTGCATGTGCCGCATCTTTTAGAAAAGATGAAGGCTACACACGCGAATATACATGAATGTATACACACGCAGAGTAACTATATATAAAGCTGGATGTGCTCCTACTCACCCACTGCCAAAAAAATAAGCACATTCTTCTTTCATGGGGTATTTAATATTTACTTGGGAGTCTAAAAAAAAATCTGATTAGCGGCGTGGCTCCCACCAGAAGTGCATTCTCTTGGTCAGCCTGTGGTTTGAGAGGGTTAAAAGCCTGCAGAAGTTCAGGTCTCTCGGGCGCGGAGCTGCAGTGCTGTCAAGCGGCCCAGGAAGCCACAGCCAGTCGCCGGGGGACCGGTCCCTGGATCGGCAATGAGCACGGATACACACGCCCCCGCGGTCTGGAGAGCTCGCATCCCTCAGGGCTCTTTCACAGTAGTGTTGAGTATTTCAGCCAGACGTCCCATTTTCTATGTAGGATGAACTTGGGATTTTGCTCATTAAGATGCGCCTTGACATGCTGTGCAGCCAACGCCATGTGTTTTTTTCCTTCTTCTGGTCCCCGAGACTCTTATTTTGTGTTTTTAAATTAATTTATTTGCCTCCGGAGCAATGTCCTAAGCTGCTGGGTGTGGTACTGCCGCGATCTGGGTGCAGCACTGTGCTCGGGGGGGGTTCGAACCCATGATCTTCCAGGTATGAGTGCAGCACATGGCTCACCGCTCCACACTGCTGCCCTCTGATAGGTGTGCGCGCTGAAGAGAGCGTGAAGTCTCCAGCTAAATCCCAGCCGGGGGAAGAGTGTTTTATTTTCGTACAGGCCAGTGGTTTAGGCTCCTTTCAAGAAGTTAAATCGGTTTTTAGTTCACAATTTAATCAGGGTTTTTCCCAATCGGTAGTTTTTTTTTTTCCTTCTAATGCATCGCCTGACGTGTTCACATTAAAAGTTGTTTTAATCATTTAAATAAAGCCAATGTTCGTTGTTTATATAGAATTATTCACTAGCTCGTAATAAAGTTTTCATACAATTAAGAAACAACTCTGATGCATGAGAGACTGGGGAGTGATTTACAAACGGAGAACATACACAACATGGCATCAAGCAGTGCTTTCCTCTTCTCCTGCGAAGCAAACCAACCCGAGCCTGTCCCGTACCAAGAGCGGTCTGATCAGGAAAGGCCTTGGGGCTC